CGAGCATGAACTGAAGGAATAAACCAAAACTCCCTGTTTTCCGCAACAGTTCCCTCCACAACCCACTCACTTTCAGCTTTGTGCCAAAGGGTCCCATGAACCGGCACTGGCCTCAGACCCGACAATTTCAGGACACGATTTGGAGCGCTCTGGCTGTCACTGCTGCCTTAAGCAGTGCCACTGTTGTCTGCAACGTGGAACTCCAGCACATCGGAGAGGCAGCTTCACACTGTAATTCAGTTCATCATGGCAGGGGCGCGCCTTTTCCCGCCCCGCAAACACATTGGAACTAGATCGGTCAAATCACAGTGCTGTACCCAAACCAATCCAGGTGCAAGCAGGGCAATTTGTTTTCAAAGAGATGCCATGAACTGCCTCACCAGGAGACAATTCTCTGCTTTGAAACCCTCTGCTGAGCTACCCCGTAAGCTGGCAGTGATTTAACTTGGGCTGTGACAACTCCAAGGCAATTAGGAAGCCAAGAATAATAGTTACCTGCCCGCAGATATTTAAGGTTGGACTCTTGTCATAAATAACCCCTCCAGGTCACCCCGGCACCCATTTAAAGAGCGTCTGATTTCAGCTCTAAGCGGGCCAAAAGGGAGGTGTATGCACTGCTCCTGCAGTTTCCCTCTAAGCTGATCTAAAATAAGCCAGGAAAACTGCAAGGCCGATTCCGTCATTCCTGAAACGACTCGCTGCAGGAGTGGGAGAGGATGAGCAACCACGAAGGAACAGCTGTGGTCTTCTGCTACTTGCCGTTCCAAACCCACTGCTCGAAGTGCTGGCGTCTGCAGCACCCCACCCCTTCCCGGAGGCCCTGACGGTTGACTAGGAACACTTAACCTCTCTGAAGACTCGCAGGAAAACACTAAGGTTTTTCTTTTTCTAAAACACTACCAAAAGCTGGACACATCTGCGGTAGGGAAGCACAACGGCTTTTGCTGGAGCAGGTTTTGGGTGCAGGCAGAGGACAAAGTCAGTGTGGGAGCCTCCCTCCTCACCAGGGTCAGGGGATACGGCTCTCCTGCACGGGCAGGGCCCAGGCAGCAGTCACGGGAGAGGGCAGAGACAGTGCAAGCCCTGCGTACCCACCACAAGGTACTAATCCAGGCCCCTCACCCCCTGGCAAGTCAACAAGGACAGAACGATGGAGGCAGATTCCAGGCCAGCCCAGGAGGAAAAGCTTCTAGATACGAAAGCAGCAAGGGGCAGTACGGCTTCTGTAGGGGGAGCCAGTAAAGCAAAGGAACAGCGTCAGCTGGCAGAGCTTTGTGCTAAGGAGTTTCTAGGAAAGGGTAGCAGACAGACAGACAGACAGACTGAATTCCTGTTGCAGGCTGACCCTGGGGACCAAACGGACTCTCACCAGCTTGTAGCTTCCTTCACACAGAGTCTGTAACGTTAAATACCCAGGTTTCTAAGGCGAACGCCAGATTTTACCAGGCCCCACGGCGGATGAATCACACCCGCAGTTTTGGCTAAAGGAGCTGTTCCTGCAGTACTGCCTGAGAAGATGCGTACGTTCCAGCCTGCTTTAAAAGGAACAGCCCCCGTCGCTTGTTCTTTCCCCATCTTGTCCCACCTGTCATCTGTCTAACAAGAGGCCTAGACTGAACAACAGACTCAACAGGTTCAGCAAACAGAGCAGACACTCTGAGGAAGATTTTCAGCCAGAAATGGGCAACGAGATGACAGCAGCAGTAGCTGGGAAGCAGGACTGGTCTGGTTTCAGATCTACATGGGTGATGGCAGACAAACACAGAGCACACCAGGAGAGAGCCATGGCACAACGGACACCAAGGAAGATGGCAACGAACCGAAGACAAGACAGCTAACGTGGTGGATTCGCTGAAGAGACACGCACAGGGGTAACAAATGCCAGGCCATGCAATCGCCAAAGGGTCTAACCTGAAAGTTCTCAAAATGCATCAGGGACTTGCAGTGTGCGAGCCGGGCAGCAGAGTCGCTATGGTAGAATTTGTGACACAGCCTGCAGAGGTAACCTGCGACGGGGACCAGA